ATGCGCTGGCATTCGTGGCCATGAGATATGTCTATCTATGGGAGGAAACTTGGCCTGTAGGGTGACAGACTCATACACGAGGTGGTTCTGGAATCCCCTCAGTCCTGGGCAAACTGGCTGGTTTGTCATCCCACATCTACCGTGTTTCCCCGAAAATAAGACATCCGCCAAAAATAAGACCTAGCACATGGAAAGATAAGATATCCCTTGAAAATAAGACCTAGCGCAACTTTGGGAGAAAAAATTAATATAAGACACTGTCTTATTTTCGGGAAACAGGGTAGAAAATTTGGAATCAAGGTGCCCAAGTGCCCCTTCAGCTCAAAGGATCCTCAAGAAAATTTGGTTTTAAATTACAACAGTCCAACTAGATGTATCCCAAGATGCTTCCATGTTCCTCTCACCTGGCTGAACAAGTTGTGGGGCTGATAGTCTACGGGCTTCCTTCTGACACGAGATAAATAAACACACAAGGAATAAGTTATGGAATGTAGTATCCACAGTCACATTCTCTTTTTAGCTACCTTTGAGGCACATCTCTTAGATAATTCAGTCACAGTCAGCATTTGGGTGGCTTGAAAGCACCCTACCTGCGCTCACAAATTTGATGTTTTATGGTGATGTGCCATTATGTTACATCCAAAGAGCTCACTCAGTGGTATCTTCCATCTCTGCTCATATTGGATTTTGTAGTATGCATCTCCCCAGAAAGATACATTTGTCCCAATTGTGCCATCAGAATCCAGTACCAAATACAGACCTGAACATCCTTGTCTCAATATATTTTTTTTATTGTGAGAGTATGGTTTTGAAAAAAAAAAAAAGAGTCTGACACTTTTGATCAGAAAATGTTTTAGGAAGAAGTCAAAGAAATTTCAAGAACAGAGTAATTCCATCACCTGTGGCCCTGAGCCTCCCCCTGAGGCTGGCTGAGCTCTCATGGAGGTTGAACAGCCCCTCATCTTCAGATCTGCACTCTGCTTCTCAAAGGCGAATATGCTGGAAGGGTCACAGGGACGCGACACTTCAACTTCAAACACCAGCTTTCAGGTCATGACACTGGGCAGCACTTTCCTTTAATCAGAGAATACAGTCAAGAGGAAGGGGCTATCAGGCCATGACAAACCCATCGTAGTTGTTTATCAGCCTGTCATGTTGGCGCCAGTGTCCTGCATCAAAAGAAAATGATGGTCCAGCCTGAGACTTGCAACCAGCAGCTTGTCACGCTTTTATTTTGCTCTGGAGGGGCCACTGCTCGCTCATCCGGCTCTGGCTCTGGGGGTGACAGGATGACCATCATTTATTTTGACTCAGGAGAATGTTGTGATAGGGGTGAAGATGAAAGCGAGCTGTGAGGAGGACCCACACCCATGTCTATCTTATAAGTATCTTATAAGTATCATTTTTCTGCCACTGGTAAGTAGGCATAGGCAGGGGATAAGCACTGGTGCAAGACTGCTGGGCTGATGGAAATTAATGAGTCCTTTTTCTTAGAGTCCCACGCCTGTGGGACTTAGCAAGGGATCAGGTGCAGATGCACCTACAGGCAGTGGGAACAGCTATCCTGATGCTTACCTTCTGAACATCTCCCTGGGGTTGGAATTGGTGAATGACTTCTGAATCCAGTGCCAAGGGCCTCCAAAGGGCAAAAAGGAGCTCAGAGGAGGCAGTGAAGTGTGCCTATCTATGAAAGGTGCCCAGACAACACCGTCCACTCTTTTCAGTAGGCAAGTTATCCACGGGTCTGGTCAGTATGGAATACTGCAAAATCACAGTGAATTATGAGAATGCAATTTTACTCGGACAACATCAATAGAGGACCTACTATGTGTCAGTAGCCTACCACAATGAACAAAACACACTCTGTACTGTCCAACAGCTCAAATTTTGGACTGTGTGGCCCATTACATAAAGATGTTCTTTAGATGACGAGATTCATCGACAGAGAAGTTTGGGAAATGCTGCCAATTCTGCTCTCAGGGATTTTCAATATGCATTTGCTTATTAAGGGCACTAAGAAGTCCCCTAAGAGGGAAAATCTGCTTAAGTGGCCACATTGAGCCATGGGACCCCCAAGTTTTATTTTGTGAAGTGGCTGCCAGGCCCTGCCTCCATTGTGCATGTGGCCATCTTATGGTGGCCATCTTGTGGTGACATTGCGCATAAGGGCCACCTAGACTTTTAGTAGAATAGATGTTTTCAAATCTGTAAAAAATAATTAAAAATGAATATCCTAGTAAAAACTAAATGCATCAACTAGAGAGGCTTTTTTTTTCTTCCTCTAATTATTTTAATGCAAACCATGACAGTTGAAAGCCATGATGACTTCATTATGATACTCGTTTGCTTCTTTGTCTCTGACTCAATTAAAGGCAGATTAAACAGAACACAGATTCCATCAACTAAGCATTCATTAGGCACTAACAGGGTGCAAGGCCCTGGATCATGCATACTTAACCAGAGACTGCTGGGTGAGGACTTGATGGGCTTGAGGCCTCCTTCCATGCCTTTGGCCACCGAGACCTCACTCAGCACATCCCTAGGCAAGACTGTGGGCCTGCAAGCTGCCTCTATTTCTGACGATGGCTTTCTAGACCAGGAAGGCAAGTCCATATCTTTCTCCAAGTTAAGCTGTTGGACTGGGAGTGGCTGCTGGACCACAGGGTTGAAAAGAGCCCTGATCTGCCTGGCTGGTGTGGTTCAGTGGTTGATCATCAACCTTTGAACCAGGAGGTCAAAGTTCAATTCCTGGTCAGAGCACAGAGCACATGTCCGGGTTTCAGACTCGATCCCCATTGTGGGCATGTAGGAGGCAGCTGATCCATGATTCTCTCTAATCATGGATATTTCTATCTCTCTCTCCCTCTCCTTTCCTCCCTAAAATCAATAAAAACATATTTTTTAAAAAATAAAAAAGATACCTGATCCCTAAGTGGGGCTCACTGGAAACAGAGTGTCTACTGGTCTGCTGATATCTTCCGAAGGCCAGCGGCAAGGTCAGGAGCTGCACACGCCAAGGATTTTCTCTCCTGGCACTCGACCCTGCAGTTTGCCCGGGGACAGTTTCATAAAGGAACCAAGGAGGGCAGGAAACCAGACACCATAGGCAATTCTCCGTGCAGCATCTGCCATAGGCAACATTGGGGGATTAGCTGAGACTTCCTCACAAATTGATCCAGCCTGAGGGTGTCAGAGTCCCCCTTGTTTGCCTGATCAATAGGACCTAGTGGCTGATCATCTGATTCCGATCGTGGGGAAAATAAACTGCCTCTGCTGATTGGGAGGCACTGTTGTGTAAGTGAAAGGAATATCAGATGGGGGCTGAGCTGGAAGAATTCTGTGTTTCCCTTAAGCTTCAGTGTTTTCTGTATGTGAATATTCCTGCTAGGAACAACAGTTGTACCGCCTTTGTCTCTTACCAGTTAGCTCACACTCTGTGGGTCCAGAAGCATTTGGAATGGGGAGGTGGGGCTCCATATTCATAGGAGAGCAAACTGCCATGAAAAATTACAGTTGGGCAGGTTACCTTGAGCTCTGATGGTTCACAATTGCCAGGATCATCAGGAAAATGTGCCCGATTCTGCTCTAGACCATGCTTCCATAAATACTTATAATCACGATACTTTTCAATTAAATTTTAATTGCAAAAGCAATGTATTCTCCATGTGCAAAAAACCAAAACATTACAGAATGAGCCAAATCTTTCCTTATCACTATAGCTAATCCCAGTCCCCTCTCTCCTTCCCCAAAGTTAACCACCATAACTCATGTGAAATTCACCTTAATAGACTTTTTGTGCACTTACATACATAAACTGTACCTGCAAAATAGATGCACAAAGCATTTTGGAACTTTCTGTGTATAGGAAGGTTCACAGAAATGATGCCATGCCATGGATAACCTTCTTCAACCTGAGAGTTTTCACTTAATATTCCATCTTGGAGAGCCCTCCATGTTCGAAGACTTTAGATCTACAACCCCTTTTCAGCGGCTGCAAAACATTTCCTAGTGTGGACAATGCCTTCGCTCTAGTCACTCCTCTGTGCTGGAGCAGTTGGGTTGTTTCCCAGTGTCTCTGCAGATGGATAATCCTTCCCTGAACACCCCTCATGCGAGTGTTTCTCGAGGGTAGGTGCCAGGAGAGTGAATGATTTTTTTCTTTTTAGTTGCTGTTCAGTTGTCCTTGAAAGTGCCTATAACCAACTCCCCTTCACATCAGTTGTGTGTAAGCAAGACCCCATATCTAATACCCTTCTCAATCCTTGGCATATCAAATAGCCCTGATGTCACCCTTGTCTTTATAGTGTCTTTATATCTTAATTGTCCAAGACAGTGTGGCTGACACACAGACGGTGTGCAACTAACATTGGCTCACATTCCTTTGGCTGGAATAGCCTTTCCCATTGCAGTTCCCCTCCTTCCCCTCACCTCCACTTGCTCACCCCGCAGGCATCTGCACAGGGACCTCTCCTGAGCTCCCGATTAGGTGAGGTTGTTCTGAATTCAGCAATGCCCTCTCTCACTGCAGCTGATAAGCTGTATTACTTTTACACTTTTATATGCCTTCTCTCCTACTACTCTCTGACCTGCTAGACACCATGGAATGGGCCATTTTGCACCTCTGTTTCCCCAACACCTGGCCTGGACCTCACACCTAGTAGGCCTTCAACAAGAGATTTAAAATGAAGGCCATTGTCACAGAGCCACATCCTCAACAGAACAAAAGCCCATGAAAATGAACCGTTATCAGCAGAGGGAGAAATTAAGCTGTCAATCTGCTGAGCAGCAAAGATTTCTGTATTTCAGGTCTTTTAACGTGATGGAGCAGGAGGGAGGGGACTCAAGGTAAAATACAACAGAGCTGGAGAAATGCTGTCCATTTTTAATCTGGAAAGCAATTAGCATGTCACTTCATTGCCATTGCCCGGGTGGGGGACAGGGCCTCTGCCTATCACTGTCTCCGAGTGACCATCTGCTATCCTTCCGTCCGGCTCATTCAGGGACCACGGTGATGCGGATGACAGCCTTTGACGCAGATGACCCGGCCACAGATAACGCCCTCCTGCGGTATAATATCCGCCAGCAGACACCTGACAAGCCGTCTCCCAACATGTTCTACATCGATCCTGAAAAAGGAGACATCGTCACCGTGGTGTCGCCTGCACTACTGGACCGGGAGGTGAGCTGAAAGGCACACATCTTCTTCAAGTGCGGCTCTCACGTGAGGGAAGATGTGGGCCTTCATGCCATAAGGGTGGAAATGAGATATTTACACAGGGCTGCATGGGAAAATCTATAAAGGGAAATGGGGTATTATATGAACCCAAAACAAACACTGTCAGAAGCCCTGCCAGCTAGAATTGTTTGAGTTCATTTAAACTGATGCCTCTGAGTCCTCAGCAGCCACTTCCTCTGAGCCCTGTGATTGTGGTGATTGTGGACCCCAAACCTCACCTCTCTGCCATGGGGAAGAGGGAGGGGTGGAGGGAGGAAAGACGACTGGGAGGGGGAGCTTTGTCCAAGATCAGTGATGATCTCCCGTAAGAGCAGGTGGCTTTGCCCTCTTTGCTCCCTCACACCCTCTGCTGCGCACACTGTTCCCCTGAGGACACCTTTCCTTAGGTCTCTGCTTGTCCCCCTTGAGGTTGTTCCTGCAACACCCCATCGGCTTCTGGGTCAGATGTCACAGGCAGGTGGCACAGGGACCCCATCGGTCCATGCTCTTGCTCTGGTTTTTCCCAGGGTGTTTTAAAGTTTTCACCTTAGTTTCCATGTCAAAGTATTTAGATTTTATGTTTCTTTTTTAAAATTCCAACTTCTGGCTTTTCTGAAAATCATAAATTCTGGAAATTTGAGGCCCGGTTTCCTAATGTGGATAGTTGGTAACATCAGATATAACTATTACATGTCAGCTGCCCCATTCAGGTGGGCCAAGTGCTTCTGCTCAGGGATGAGCCCTACTCCATGTGTCCTGGCCCTGCCCTTCCTCCTGAGCTCCAGGTCACTGCCTTCAGTGGGAAAACAGAGTACCAAACCTTAGGGGTTCCCGCCCATCCATCTACCCATCAGTCCCTCTGCCCAGCCCAAATATTCACCCACCACCACATTGGCATTTCTTGCTCCTGTCCTGGCATCACTCCACATGAGTAGTGACCTTGACCTTCTACAAGTACCCTGCCTTGCAGTCACTGCTGGATTTTCCTAATGGGTTCCGTGTGTATTCCACTTGGTGTTTCTGACTAAACAAATCTTAGATCAGAAATGCCTTCTCCTCTCCTTTCTGCTTCCCCGACTATATCACAGTACTGGTTACACACACCTCTTCAGAGAAGCCATCCTCCTCCACCTGAGTCTTCTACTTTTTCTAATCTTGGCCTGTGCTGACCCGTGACTATCACATAGTGATTTCCATAAGCTCTTTTAAATTGTCATTTGTCTCCTTAAAGAATATCCCCTTCTTCTTTGTCTAGACCTGTGCTGTCCAATGCCGTAACCACTAGTCACATGTAATTATTTAAATCTAATTTTCAGCTATTGAAATTAAATGTAAAAAAGGTTCTCAGTCAGATTAGGCAGGTGTCAAGTATTCAATAGCCTCTTGTGGCCAGTGGTACTGTATCAGGCAGAACAGACATAGAATATCACCATCAACATAGACAGTCCTGCAGGCAAGGCTGGCTTAGGCTGTAAAGTACTTGAGAATAGAGACTGTGATCATAGGCGTGTGTGTATCCCCATGGCCTGGCATAGTTTGAGCACTCCTAAAAACATTCTAACTATATGGGTTTTGGTGTATAGGCAAGAATGAATGAAAAGGGATGCTAAGATTTTTATACTTGAGAGTGGGAAACAGTAGTTAGAAATGGGAAATTATTGCCAATGAGGGTGAGGATGAAATTTGCATAGAAACTGTGGTTGTCACTTGAAAAAGGTGATTGTTTCCATTTTAAAATAGAAAAGCAGGGAAGAAAAAAGAAAAGCCCGAGTCAATTTTCTTTATTTTCTCTTCTATTCTCTTTTCAACCCTCCCTAGTATGTGGCTGCCTGACTGCCATACTATCTTCTTTGGAGGCAAGTAATTACTTTCCAACTCTATCTTTATCATCCACCCAGGATGCCTGTGTGTACACACACACACACACACACACACACAATGCAGTGATTTTTTCCATCTCAGTTCTCCTTTTATTGATAGAAAAGGTTTTGTCTCTATTTATAAGTCAAAGTGATAACATAGTGGGTTATCCCATTTTTTAAGGTTTGTTTGGCAACAGATGTGTTTCAAGCTCATTATCTTTTCATGTGGGTTTTGGCTAAGTTGCAATGAGTGTATAATTATGGGAGTTGAATTAAGCACTTCTAAGCTACATAAATAAACAGCTCAAAAAGAAAAAAGAAAAAAAAATGAGGTGACGAACACAATTTCACAATTTAACTGAAATTGGAAAATCAATGGAAATGAGTGAAGAGCGTCACTTTTCTGTGAAGGTTCCCGGAGTTCAGTGCTGACCCGGCATCATCAGCAAAGGAAACGTCCTAGACTCAGGCAAGCATTGCCTATTTACTTGTGTCGGTGTAGCTACTTGTCGGCCAGCTGCTGAAGGATGAAATGAGACTCAGAGTCACTCATCTTTAAAGGGACAGAACTCACACAGCAGACAGACCTCTCGTTGGGGTTGCCCACAGTTTGCAATGTTTTCGTCTCACTGCCCTTCTGTACGTATGACAGCTCCCCTCAGCAGGACTGGCAATTACTTTTCATTATTTCTGGACACCTTCTGAGTAAGCTCCTTTCTTAGGTGTGGTTTTAAACGCCTACTTTGGGACTATCTGAGCAGAATGTTTAACACAGATTAATGTCAAGAAGGGGAGCCCAACAAGCTTTGTATGATTCCAAGTGGTTTTAGGGTTAGTCACCCGTCTTCACTCATGACACCTCAAATAGCATATTTTGTGGTTGGATACTGTGAGTGTAAACAAACAGGTCAGGGACCCCTGTGGAGCCTGGGCCCCTGAGGTTGTACAAGCAGTTTGCTCCAACTCCGGCCCCCACCATATTGGGAATGCAGGCTCTGGAAACACACCGGCTGGTTGACATGCACTCAACTGATAGGATATAAATGTTTCATTTCAATTTTCCATTTAGAACCTTTTCTTTCCTGAGTACTCCATGGAGTCGGCATGCACCATTTTCTGAGAACTTGCCTGTGTACCTTCCCTGCCTTTCACGTTTTTAATTTAACTTGTAATGAAACTTGTCAATGAGGGCAGTCATGGACATCAGTAAATAATCATTTTTTAAATGTATTTTTTCAGTTATAGTTGGCATATCATATTGTATTCAAGGGTACAACATAGTGATTGGACAGTTATAAACCTTATAAAGTGATCACCCCGGTAAGTCTAGTATCCACCCGACAGCACCCATAGATACTACAATGTGTAACCTCCCAACCTCCCACCATGTTCAAAGCTAACCTGCACTGCCCCGCTTCCCCCTAAAACTGGTGCATTTGTGGGCACCATGGTTCAGGAGTCCGTGTGGCAGCACCATTCACTGAGCTCCTGCTTTGATCAGTGGACTCCCAGGGATGTGTACCTGAAACAGAGTTATGAGGGAGCCAGCAGTGTCCTTTGTGTGTAAGGAGGACTGGCCTTTGGAAAGAGGAGGTGGATTCATTCTGACTGGTCCCCAAGTGGTGAGAAGGGGCATCAACTAGAACAGTGTATCTCAGTCTTTGCTGAGATCTTTAGGAACCCCAGGCTACAGATGAGGCCTGAGCTCATGACATCAGAATCTTGGGTGGCAGGGTATAAGCATCCGTAGTTTTAAAGACAAACATCTGGTTCAAATATGTAGCAAATTGGAGAATCCCCTTCGAGACTATGTTTCAGTGTACTTAAAACTTAGGAGGTCAGTCTGGGGTCGGAACCCTGGCTCCATCATTTATTTGGTTTTTACCTAGGTGAGTTTATTAGTTTCCCAGAACTTCTGTAACAAATTACCACAAACCTGGTGGCTTCAAACAACAAAAGTGTATTCTCTCGCAACTCTGAAGGTCAGTCTGAAATCAAGGTGCTGAAGGCTCTGGGGAGGATCCTTCCTGCCTCTTCTAGCTTCTGGGAGTTGCCAGGAATCCTTGACATTTCGTGGCTTGTAGGTTCACAGTCCAGTCTCTCCTTCATCTTCACATGGACTTCTTCACTCTGTCCTCACATTGTTTTCCTTCTATGCATGTCTGCATCTTCTTATAAGACACCCGTCATATTAGTCCTCTTAGATTAGGACTCATTCTAATGACCTCATCTTTACTTGTTTATGTCTACAAAAATTCAATTTCCAAATGTCATATTCACCAGCATTGGGGGTTAGGACTTCATATCTTTTGAGGGAACACAACTCAACCCATAACAGTGAGTCACTTGACTTCTATGTGTCTTGCTTATCCTATATAATAAAGAGCTAATATGCAAATGGTTGTCACGCCCTCACATCATCATGCCCTCATGCCATCACGCCTTAACTGCTCAGACACTCAACACTGGGGAGAGAGGAATGGGGACCAGCCAGGCACAAATGAGCTCACGAGAGAAGAATGGGATCCAGCCAGGTCGCAGCCCAGGGGAGGGACAAGCCGCCTGCCCCGCAGTTCCAGGTGCCAGCAGCTTCGCCTGCACCTGGGGCCTAGAAGAGGGGCAAGCTACCCATCCCATTTCCCCAGGCACATGTGGCTGCAGCCCGGGAGAAGCCCACCCAGGTTCTGGGTGCCTGCAGCCAGCTAGAGGGAGGGAAGCCCAGGTCCTGGGTGTGGGGCAAGGCAAAGGTGGTTAGGGGTTATCAGGTCAGCAGGGGAGCAGTTAGGGGCAATCAGGCTGGTAGGGAAACAGTTAGGGGTGATCAGGCAGGCAAGCTGGCAGAGGGGTTAAGGGCAATTAGGCAGGCAGGCAGGCGGGTGAGCAGTTAGGGGCCAGCAGGCCCGGATTGCGAGAGGCAGTCGGACATCCCCACGAGGGATCCCAGATTGGAGAAGGTTGCAGGTTGGACTGAGGGACCCGCCCCCCCATGCACGGATTTCATGCACCAAACCTCTAGTTTATCTATAAAATGGAATAACCGTGTCTGCCTCAAACAAACTGTTGGTGAGGATCGGATCTGTCAAAATAGACACATTTTGAAAA